TGAGATTTAATCCACTCTGTGCTCAAACAGATGGGCCTGTTAACACATTTCTTCAGCTGATGAGCCACACATGCCCTCTGTTCCACACTCAACGGAGGCATGTGTGGGGGAAAGGCCCAGTGTGTTTCTTCCCACACAAAAGGGGGGGGGTGCCAGGTAAGCAGGTCAGCTGCCCCACTGGAACGATAAAGCGGCTTTTCCATCACTTGCTGAAACCAGTGCTTCCTCTGGACTTCCAGGGTTTTTATTCCCAGTTTGTAGAATGTCTCCCTTAGATCTGCAGTAAACAAAGCTCTCTCGTCCTATTTTAAAACAGGGTGTTCTTGGGTGGCAAACACCTGTTGCTTTTATGTTATCACACATTTTGCTCTCCAAAAATTTAAACCAGGCCAAGCTATTTAAATTCAGCAGCAAAGCAGGATTGTGAAGGACAGTTGCCAAGGCTTCCATACCAATTCCGTACCATCCAATATTTCATAGATGAAAACAGGGATTATTTCTATATATTCGTAGTACTAATATTATCAGGTCCACCTGACAGGTGATGGAGTGACGTAAGGACGGGGGGCAGTTTCAGCTCCCCTCACCAACGTGCACCTTTTGATGTAAATATTGGACTGCCAAACCCTCACTTTTCATTATATAGGAACAGGGCAGACATGTGAAAAAAATAAACATGGCTGCCAAAATCTGGTTGGATCCTTCTAGCTTTTCTGCTCTGTTTCATCCAATTCTCCTCTTCATGGGGACTCCATCTTGCGTGGCTTTTGTCCATGCAGAACCCACAATCCCCAGCTTGGTGGCCAAAAATGGCCTCTTCCATCAGTGAAGACGCTAGTGGGATCCAACCCGTTTTTCCCCCTAATTTGGACTCTAAAGTATGCAAAGATTTGTCTGTGTGGAATCAAGCAGAATTTGCACTGCTAAATGCCGCAATCAGTGGTGTGTGGAAGTGAAGAGCCCCCATGGCTTTGGGGGGGAAATCTAATCTCCCCCCCCCCAAGAATCCCTCGACAAAACTGGCTTGTTTGCTTTTGAAAATCAGTTCTGAAACTTCACCGTCTCCCTCCATGGTTTCCTCTAATTTAGAAAAACAAATCAAAGCCCAGTCCTGAAATATCTGGTCACGATAATCAAAAACAAATGAAATTCTCAGATGGATCTATTGTATCAAACACTAAATCTATGTTTTTTTAAAGGAAAGCTTCAAAATGTGTTTGGAAAACCTATAAAGGCGACAACTTACTGTAATTTCCCATGACAAAAAGCAGACACCAATGGATGAAAGCTACAGACGCTGATCGCTCCTTCCTGTTCCCTACGTGATGTCAGTAGTTAAAAATGATTGGATGTGTTATAATAATGGTTCACAGCAATCTGGTGTCTGTTCCAGGCATGTCACACTTGACTGCCGTATTGTAATGCAAGGAGTAAGTTACATTACATCTCAGAAGAAACCAGGGGAAGGGGGTGTTACAGGTCTTCCAGCCACCTCTATAAAGACAAGGGAGCAGAGACCAAATGATTAGTTAGATGTGACTACCAACTAAGCTCTCGCTATAAGCCTTTAAAAGTAAAACAGCCAGCCACCAAGAAAGGCTCAACTTGACTTGAGGCTGTGTCCCTATTTTGACATCCAAATATCAAAATTAAAAACTGGAAGCAGATCGATTACCACCCAACATGGTAAAAGTCTGGTGTACTTGTCAGACTGCTGAGTGAAACTGGAGAGACCCAGGTTCAGATCCTTCTCTGCTATGATGTTTGGTAGGTGACCACGGCCCAGGACCTCTTTCTCAGCCTAATCTACCTTACTGTCCTGGATGAAATTCAAAACCAGGAGCACCTAAGAGGCCAATAAAATGCTTATCCACTTGAGCAGGCCCACAACCACAGTGGGGCATTTAGGGGCGGTGCCCCCCTCACTCATGGCCCACCCCCCCACAACTCCTCCTGCCCATGCCCTTTCTTGCTGTACTCATTTGTCTCGGCTGCTACAGGAGAAGGAAAGCCAGAAGGCTGGTACAATTAATACTTGGTGAGTATGCGCTCTCTGCTACAGTAGCAGGGGGGCTGCCGCTACTGTAGCACAGAGCACATATTCCCCCAGTATTAATCACTCTCCCTCTCCTGTAATGTCCGAGGTGAACGAGTGCAGCTGGCAGGTATGGAAAGACCCTCCTCTTCTTCGCCTGCCTGCCTATAGGATCTCTCTTCCCCCCCACTCCCCTCTCTCTCCCCTGCCCCCCTGGACAGGGTTGCCACTAAAAGCAGAGCTCGGAGGCATGTTCAAAAGCAGAGCTCCCACAGGGAGCTGAAAAATCTCTGTAGAAAATCCCCTGCCGAAGCTCACGGCGAAACGCGTAGGGATCCGTAAGAGCTAAATAAACTCTCTACTTTGCACCTTGTTCTTTTTCGTCTTTCCTGCCCACTGGTGCGGCCATCATTTCCCCCCAAAGCAGAGCTCAACAGCACTTTTGCAGCACCGCCAGAGCCTCCTTGGAAAGCCCCTCTATGCACACAGTGACAGTTACATCTCTGAGGGAGTCACTGTATCAGACCAAAGCTCCCTATGCAGCATTGCCATCCCATCCCAAAGCAGCAGCTCGTCCAACAGTGAAAACAACAATCATAATCCCAACTTTGTCTCTGAGCTGATCTTTGTCTGCTTTTATGATTCCTCGTAAAACGGTAAATATTTTTTCTTCTTCAGGACCTCCAGATGTGCTCTCCAGCTCCTCTTGACCAACCAGCAATATGATTGTCGGACAACCACCTTTAAATGGAAACCAGACTGCTGACCTTGGGAGGCCCAGTGAAATAAGACTCGATATTTTAATGCCTGAAAGCTGCTGCTTCTTTGAAAGAGAAACGGTGAGCACTGAAATATCCATAAGCAGGTAGCTAAAGCTATAAATCCACCAGGAAAAGTCTCTCCATTAAAAGGAAAGGGAGCTGTATGATAGCAGAGGAGATCTATCATTCAGACAGCTGACACCACCGGGAGAAGAGCACTCGGAACACTGATTTGCTGAGAACTGGGTCCTAAGGACATAAGAACACAAGAGAAGCTGTGCTGGATCAGGCCAATGACCCGTCCAGTCCAACACTCTGTGTCACACAATGGCCAAAACCCAGGTGCCATCGGGAGGACCACCAGCGGGACCAGAACTCCAGAAGCCCTCCCACTGTTGCCCCCCCCCCCAGCACCAAGAATACAGAGCATCACTGCCCCAGACAGTCTTCCAGCTATACCTTATGGCTAATAGCCACTGATGGACTTCTGCTCCATATGTTTATCCAATCCCCGCTTGAAGCTGTCTATGATTGTAGCCTCCACCACTTCCTACGGCAATGAATTCCACATGTTCATCACTCTTTGGGTGAAGAAGTACTTCCTTTTATCCATTCTAAACCTACTGTTCATCAATTTCATTGAGTGCCTACGAGTTCTTGCATTGGGAGAAAGGGAGACAAGTACTTCCTTTTGTAAACCTCTATCATGTCACCCCTCAGTCATCATTTCTCCAAGCTAAAGAGCCTTAACCTCTTTAACCTTTCTTCATAGGGAAAGTGTTCCATCCCCTTAATAATTTGAGTTGCCCTTTTTTGATCCTGAACTTGGATCTTTGAGGAGGGGCCATGGCTCAGTGGTAGAGCCTTTGCTTGGCATGCAGAAGGTAGCAGGTTCATTACCTGGCACCTCCAGTTGAAAGGCTGAGGTAGTAGGTGATATGACAGACCTGTACCGGAGACCCCAGAGAGCTGCTGCCAGTCTGAGTAGTCAATACTGACCTTGATGGATCAAAGGTCTGATTCAGTATAAGGCAGCTCCATATGTTCATATGAACACCAGAGAGACCAGAAAAGAAGTCTTGTTATTTATAAACTGCCTTTCTGTCCCCTACTCATGCCCACCAAGGGGTCCCAAGGTGTCTCACAACAAAGTCAGAAATAAAACTGATATATTAAAACAAACGACAATTTAAAACCACACTATCAATAAGCTTCCTGTCTAACACAACAACCTCCGAGTTAACAGAAGGACCTCCTGAAAAGAACACCTTCCCCCCCCCCCTCAACTGCTACTGCCAAACCTTTCCACAGAACTTTGGCCACTGATGGAACGGCCCCAAGAGCAGGCCGAGACCACTGTGGGAGGCAGCACAATGAGCCACTGCAGATCAGAAGAGCAAACCTGGAGCAGGAGATTATACTGGGAAAGATGGTCCCTAAAGTAGGCAAGCCCCAGATTGCCAAAAGGCTTTACAGGTGAGAACCAGCCGCTTGAAGAGAGCCTGCAAACAAACAAGTAACCAGTTCAGCTACACAGTGATACTGTGTGTCTGCCAAGACACCACCTCTTCCTTCACCTCCAGCTCTTCTAACATGACAGCGAAAAGTTTCGACAGCTTTCATGAAAGGATATCAGGACTTCTGGCTTTTTGGAGGATCGGTGAGCAATCTGGTAGAAATTAGAGAACTACAACTCCCAGTACTCTTGGTGGTGGAGGAAGCAATGAAAGCAGACAGCAGCCATTCACAACAGGAACTGAACCCTCTGATGACTGGAGGGGAGGACTTTTGCCAGCTTCCCCCCGCCCACCCCCGGCAAGTCCACCCCCCAGTTGCGCTGCGATGATGAAAAAGAGAAGCTTGGTCTCGTATGTAGACCTTTTTGTCATTTTTTACAGTAAAATTTGTTTTAAACAGTTTTTATACATTTGTAACCCACCTTTGGACATCACAGTTGGGAAGGGAGCATTATAAATGCTTCAAATAAACAAACAAACAGAAAGAAGTTTGGATGTGTAAGGCAAATGGACTTTTTTCCAGCAACCTGAAAACAAAAAGCCCAAATGGCTCTCAAGATATATCCACACGAGCCAACCTCTTCCCGGGAACAGCAGGCGAGCGAAGGGGAGAAAGAGTTCTCTCTGGCTGCCA